AATAGTCTATGAAATGTTAATAATGTAAATGACTCTCTATATTTAAAGATATTTACAACTTATCTAAAACCTATACAATTACTCAAACTCCTAGTTAAATTTTTTTATTCTGAGTTACACTTTTCCAAGGAAAAACAGAGTAAAGAAGTACTTATCTTTGGAATTTTTTATCATAAAGGGGGAAAAATAGAGAGAAAGTAAAAAAGAATTTATGGAAGCCATTTTTAGACATATATAAATTTATTATGGTAAAGGCTAAGTATTTTTATTTTTAAGGAAAGGAAAAGGCTTAGATATATGGAAAATCTATTTTTACATCAAAATGTCTCTCTCTCTCTCCCTCTCTCTCTTCCTCCCTCAGGTTTATTTTTAAAGTTTATATAGACTACCAGGTCCTTGTTAGAAATAGATATTCTATTTGGTAATTAAAAATAACAATGTAACTAAAAAGGTAAAATGTACTCATTTAAAAAATTTCCACTGGAGATCCCTTATCCTGATCCCTTATCCTATTCCATACTGTCTTTTTTTTTTTTTTAGAATTTTTTATTTTTATTGCATGTATTGGGGTTACATTGATTAATAAAATTATGTAGGTTTCAAGTGTGCAGTTCTTTAAACATCATCTGTATTTTGTACTAGAGGCCTGGTGCATAGATTCGTGCACTGGTGGGGGGCATGGCCTTCGGGGATCAGTCCATTGTGGGAGCACTGCTCATTCCCAGTTAGCTGAGTGGCTGTGGATTCACCCTCTGAGCAGCTGCTCCTGCTGTGGAAATGCACTGACCACCAAGGGGACAGCTCCTGCATTAACTGCCTGCCCTCTGGTGGTCAGTGCATGTCATAGCAACTGGTTGACCAGTAGTTCTGGTCATTCCGCCATTCAGTTGCTGGGCTTTTATATATATAGATTGTGTGCTCAGCGCTCCAAGTCTTTACCATTTATCCCCCTTCTACCCTCTTCTACCTCTCCTAATCCCCTTTCTCTCTGGTAATCAACATACTGTTGTCTCTATGAGTTTTTTCTTTTGTTGTTGCTTTTATTTGTTTGTTTTTGTGTGTGTTGTTTTCTATTTTTTTTCTTCTTATTTAATCTTCAGAATGAAATTTGGTAGGAAGGAAACTCGGGTTTGATATACAAGAAGAGAAACATCCTGGATTTAATTAAACATCTTCCCTTCCATATTCCAAAGCATCTGGTAACTCTAATACATTATACTCCTACTTGTGGCCCCATGCACAAAATTTGTGCACATTAAAAGATAATTAATTAGAGGAAATATTTTAATATTGCTATTCACATCCCCGGCCCGGCGCTGGGAGGAGAGGCAGCCTCACATCCCCGGCCAAGCACCGGGCTGGGAGGCAGCCTCACGTCCCAGGCTGGCACAAGTCCCCACACCCCCCCTGTACTCCCCCCCCCCCACCCGCCTGCCTTGCATGCAGCCTCCTGCTGTTTGGTCCTTAGGGTGTCATGGTGTGATGACCATTTGCATATTAGCCTTTTATTATGATGATGATATCTGGCCCAACTTTTTTATTATTATGTGTGATAAATTCCTGGAAATGTAATCACCCAGCCCAGGAGCCTGAATATTTGCTACATCCTGTCAAACTGTCTCCAGAAATGCTGTCCCTTCTACTCCGGAGCAGTGCTATCAGGTGTCTATTTCATCACACCCTCTCCAGTACTGAATACTGTGATTTTTTAAAAGATCCAGGTACCTTTCCTTTGCAATTACTTGATTACCTTTGAAGTTAACTTTTCTCACGTATATTATTTACTTTATTTCTTCTTTAGTTCAATGTCTTTGCTCGGACATATTCTTCTTTGAGTAATCCTATTTTGTTTGAGTTCACCGGAAGCAATAGCAGTTTCCATGAAGGAAGGTGGAGGGCTAGAGGGGGTAGAGTGGTACTGGAGCAGATGTGGTTGGCAATGGCTCCTGTTAAAGCTTAGATCAGAGGTGAGGGGGTTAAGGGAGATATCAGGTTCTGAGACTGAAATGTTAGGGTGAGGGCACACAGTCAAAGGTCACCATTTGGGAGGTTGGGCCCCTGGGGTCTGGGGGGGAGGATGAGGGTCAGACCTGGGTTTGGTGAGGGATGCAGGAGGGGAGTGGTCTAGCTGGGAAGGCCCATGGGTCTGGGCAGCTCCCCGGATTCAGGCACCCAGCACTCGCCGCCAGTGCTGGGTCCACTGCACTGTCCAGGCCCCACAACAGCCAGACAGACCTACGGCTTCAGTTTCGGCTGCACTGAAAGGGCTGTGGGAAGTCACGTGGCCCCCAAGCCTGTACCTCCTTGCCTCTGAGCTGGGTGCATGCCCCTCTTCAGGGAAACCGCCTGAGCGGCTCCTCTAGGTAACATCACCTGGTGACACTATCAGCAGGGCGTGCCACACAGCCTGATGCTGCGCGGGCTGGGGGAGACTTTATGGGAAGAGGTCCTCTGTCCCCTCACCCCACCACCGCAGGCCCGGAGCCCTCATCCCTGCACACGCGGTCGTCTGTAACAGGCACCCAGAGGCTGGGGGCGGGGGGGGGGGGGCTAGAGGGTTCCCACGGTGTCAGAAACCGCTCGTCCCAAGGGTCCCACGGTCTCAGTGTTTCCACATGATTGCATGGCCTCGGTGTTATGCCACTACTTTCTGATACCAGTTTTGCACCTTAAAGTAATTGCAAGTACAGCTTTCTTCTTCACCCTCCTGGGACTCACAGTTCTGTTGCATACGTTCCTTTCAAAGGGCAGTTTCTAGTTCTTGGCCATGTGGGGTGTTGTTGACTTTTCATTCTAGGTTTTCACATGGGGCATCTTGAATTCTGTGAGGATGGTGACTCCGTCTGTTCTACAGCAAGCCTGAGAGCGAATAAATATGATCCCCATTTTACATCTACTCTCAGACTGTAGTAACATTTCCCCAAGTGGGACTGGATCCTATAAACCAATTCCCACGCTCCACTACACTGAATAAGAATGAGGATCCGAGCTTACCTTTCACATGAAGAGCCCATGAGGCAGCCTCACATCCCTGGCCAGGCGTCAGGCTGGGAGGCAGCCTCATGTCCCGGCAGCACAAGTCCCCGCCCACCGGCTCCTGCTGTGCACGCAGCCTGTTGAACAGTCATTACAATGACGGAGTAATGACAATTTGCATATTACCTCTTTATATATATAGACTAGAGGCCTGGTGCATAAAATTTGTGCATGGGAGGGGGGGTGGGGGATCCCTCAGCCTGGATTGCTATGACACCAGCATTCTGCGCCCCAGCCTCTGGCCAGAGGCCCCTCCTTCCCTCCACTTGGCTGGGGCACAGGACGCTGGGCTCGCGTCACCCCCAGAGGCCCCTCCCTCTCTCCACATGGCGTCTAAATACTCTAGTTTGCATTTCCTATGAATGAAGCTAGAACCTGATCAGCATCCTCAACAGGGCCTTTTTCCCTGTGGCTAATTTGGGCTTCCTCATACTGTGGTCTCAGGAAAGTTGAACTACTTTCATAGCTTTTAAGAGGCAGCATTCCAAGTAGCCAGGCATCCCACCCCGCCCTGGCTGCTCTGGGCCAGTGGGCAGCACGCACAGGTGCGGAGTGGCTGGGGCGGGGCAGTGGGTAGTGCGCACAGGCCCAAAGTGGCCCAGGCAGGGCAGGGCAGAATGCTGGCATCATCGTGATAGTGATGACGCCAGCATCCTGGCCCGGCTACCGCCATTTTGTCGTGGAGTGACATCAATTTGCATATTCTGTCTTTATTAGGTAGGATTCAACCTCAGACTTATTCTGGTTTTCTTTACGACATCTTATATGTCTTTTATATGCTTTCTGGCACCTCCAACAGTAATTTATGTATCAAAAAGACTAAATAAATTTACTTAATTAAGGTTAAATTTATAGCATTAAAAGTAATTATTTAATTTTATGCTGCCATCATATATTAACTCACTCACTCAATAAACATTAGTGTTCAGATGAAGTACAAATTCTTACCAATGTAGCAGAAAAGGTCAGTGAGCTAATGTTAAATTCTTTAGTAATTACTTATTAATTTTATAAATCTATATAACAGATTTAACTGTCATTCAAAATGATATATTGATTCATTAAGAAAGATAATGTCAGGTTGCGTTGGTGGTATAGTGGTGAGCATAGCTGCCTTCCAAGAAAGATAATGTGCTACTTACAGAATTAAGGAAAAAGAGAATCTAAAGAACAATAGAGGAAGAAAAAAATAAACATACTATAGATATGTTCCAAGCAATATACACAGAAAAATTTGTGGGGATGAAAACCTGGAGCAGCCAAGAGAGACATAATGTAACTTAAAACTGCTGCTCTTCCTCTACTGTTTTCTCAGGTGCTGGGGTTTTCAAAATAAATTCTTAGTTTCACTATTGGAAACTATTTTTTGCCTTTTTTTCCCATTTTTATTGAGTTGTTGTTTTCTAATCTGCAATGCATTTACTGTACCTGGAACATCTTAAAGGAAATATGTAAATACAGGATGGGGCAAAAGTAGGTTTATGTGAAACAGTTTATTTTTGTATTATTATTTATTAATGATTTTGTTATTTTCCATATGAACAACTGTAAACCTATTTTTGCCCCACCCAGTATTTATGATAGGATTGTTATGAACTAATTTGCTGAAAGTTACTTTTTAATTTCTTTCACCAGACATATTTATGGCCATCACAGGAAGTATATTTGATATATAAACAGCTTTTGTAAGAGAAAAAAAATGGAAACAAGATCACTGGAAGGTTCTTTATACTCTGTCCTGAAGTGATAATAAAAAATATTGAATGGAAAAAATATCCATTCTGTTTCTCTTAGAAGGCATGCATTTTACTTATATTTATTTGTCAATATAATTAATTCTTATTACATTCTGTATAACTCTCAATAAGGGGGTAATATCATAGACATTAAGCTTCTAATTTTAACTACTGATGTTATATGCACATTTCCATAAAGCATTAACAGTATTTGTGTGTTTTTTACAGATATTGGCTGACCTAGAAAACCACGCATTATTTAAGAATGATCTGGAATGTCAAAAGTTGATTCTGGAAGCAATGAAATATCATCTATTGCCAGAAAGAAGAACTTTAATGCAAAGTCCAAGAACTAAACCTAGAAAATCTACAGTTGGAACTCTGTATGCTGTAGGAGGAATGGATAACAACAAAGGTATATAAATCTTGATCTATATGTAATACACTAGAGGTCTGGTGCATGAAATTTGTGCTACTTGGGGGTTGTCCCTCAGACCAGCCTGCACCCTCTCCAATCTGAGACACACAATCCGTGGACTGCTGGCTCCCAACCGCTCGCCTGCCTGCCTGCCTGATCATCCTCTAACCAGTCCCCTGTGGGCCTGATTGACACCTAACTGCTCCCCTGCCAGCCTGATTGCCCCTAACTGCCCTCCCCTTCTGGCCCAGTCGCCCCCAAATGCCCTCCACTGCTGGCCATCTTGTGGTGGCCATCTTTGACCACATGGGGGTGGCCATCTTGTGTGAGAGTGTGATGGTCAATTTGCATAATATCTCTTTATTATGTAGGATACCCTATGTCATACCATGACACAACTTTAACATTGCAATTATATAATGTCAACAAACTTCTCATAAACTTTGTTTATCCATTAAGATTTAAAATTAAAGGGATAATTAGAAAACACCTCTTATTTTTAGTCTGTAGCTGCTGCCTCTGCTTCTTATTCATCTTTAAGTCCTTTAACTCTGATGAATTATGTTCAAATTTCATATGAAACAAAAAAGGAGATTTAAAGCACTTAGAAAACACAGGCCAAATAGGTTTTGGAAATATTTAGAACTATATTTCCATTCTAAGTAAAGGAAATGTAATGTCTCCAGGTACTTGCTTACTAAAATCAATATTATGTAGAAAGTTTATGCTTGTGAGAAGTTCTGAATTTCACACAGAAGCCAGTCAAATAAAAAAAAATTACAAGTATAAAAATGTGACAGTTATAACTTACAAAATTATTAGTTTTAACAGTTTTGGCCTTCAAAAGAAAGTGGATGATTTGTTTATAAATTGAATACAGGTACTTGAAGGTTTTGTTCTTGCATTTCCTAGTTAAAAAGACTTTTTATAAATATATTTCCTCTTTAGCCTTTCTTATATGGGTCTTAATTTTCTTGAACAAGTACAGAAGATAAATAACGCGTGTCATATGTTTGTGACTAATAAGTGATTTACTTATCCATGATATATTTAACTAGAGGCCCGGTGTACAAAAATTTGTGCACTCGGGGGGAGGGGGGGTCTCAGCCAGGCCTATGCTCTCTTGCAGTCTGGGACCCCTCGGAGGATGTCCACAAGCTGGCAGTCAGACATTCCTCTGGCAGCCCAGCAGCCTTCGGGGAATGTCCACTTGCCAGCGCTCTGGCAGCCCAGCAGCCTTCAGGGAATGTCTGTGTCCATGGGCTATGTATATATGTTCTTTGGCTACTCTCTTCATCTTCTTTTCCCAGTCCCCCTTTCCCTCCCCTCTGACCTCTGTCAGACTGTTCCATGTATCCATTCCTCTAGTTCTGTTTTGTTTGTAAGTTTACTTTGTTCATTATATTCCTCATATAAGTGAGATTACATGGTGGTCTTTTTCTGATTGGCTCATTTTGCTTAGCATAATGATTTCCAGGTCCATCCATGCTGTCATAAAGGGTAAGAGTTCCTTGTGTGTGTTTTTGTGGGTTTTTTTGTTTTCTTTTGTTTTTTTGCAGTCCAGTAGTATTCCATTGTGTCAATGTACCACTGTTTTGTTTTGTTTTGTTTTTATCCACTCATCTACTCAGAGGCACTAGGGCTGTTTCTAGATCTTCACTATTGTAAATAATGCTGCTATGAACATATGGGTGTGCATACATTCTTTCTGATTACTTTTTTAGGATCCTTAGTATATTTTCCCAGATGTGGGACCTCTGGGTCAAAAGACAGTTCCATTTTTTAAAATTTTTTGAGGAAACTCCATACTGTTTTCCACAGTGGCTGTATCAGTCTGCATTCTCACCAAGACTGCACCAGGGTTCCCTTTTCTCTGCATCCTCACCGGCACTTGTTTCTTGATTTATTGCTGCTAGCCATTCTGGCAGGTGTGAGATGTTCTTTCATTGTAGTTCTAATTTGCATCTCTCTGATGATAAGTGGCATAGCATTTTTTCATATGTCTATTGCCCATCTGTACATCTTTGTTAGAGAACTGTTTATGCAAGTTCTTTGCTCATTTTTTATTGCATTGTTTGTTTTCCTGGTGTTGACTTATAAAAGTTTTTATGTATTTTGGAAATTAACCCCTTTTTTAAAGTATCACTGACAAATATACTTTGGGTTCCCCTTTCATTTTGTTGATGATTTCTTTTGCAGTGCAGAAGCTTTTTAGTTTCATGTAGTCCTTTGTGTTTATTTTTTTCTTTGTTTCCTTTGCCCTAGGAGATATATCAGCAAAAAATACTGCTATGAGAGATGTCTGAGATTTTATTGCCTATGTTTTCTTCTAGGGTTTTTATGGTTTCACAACTTACATTTAAGACTATCATCTATGTTGAGTTCATTCTTGTGTGTGGTGTAATTTGGTGGTTTAATTTCACTTTTTTTTCATGTACCTGTCCAATTTTCTCAACACTATTTATTGAAGAGACTATCTTTACTACTACATTGTATGTTCTTGCCTCCTTTGTCAAATATTAATTGACCATAGAGGTGTGGGTTGATTTCTGGACTCTTTGTTCTATTCCGTTTATCTATTTGCCTGTTCTTATGCCAGTACCGCTGTTTTGATTATAATGGCCATGTAGGATAGTTTGATATCCGGTATTGTGATACCTCCAACTTTTTTCATCTTTCTCAAGATTGCTGAGGCTATTACGGTTTGTTGTTGTTGTTGTTGTTCCATATACATTTTTGGAATATTTGTCTTATATCTATGAAATATGTTATTATTTTTACATATATTTTTAAATATATTTTTATTGATTTCAGAGAGGAAGGGAGAGGGAGAGAAAGATAGAAACATCAGTGATGAGAGAGAATCATTGATTGGTTACCTCCTGCACACCCGCTACTGGGATCGAGTCTGCGACCTGGGCATGTACCCTCGCCAGGAATCAAACCATGACCTGGTTCATAGGTTGATGCTCAACCAACCATGCCAGCCAGGCTGTTACTGGTATTTTGTTGAATCTATAGATTGCTTGGGGTAGTATGGGCATTTTAATGATATTAATTCTTCCAATCCATGAACATATGTGCTTTCACTTGCTTGTATCATCATCTACTTTCTTTAATGTCCTATAGTTTTCCTACTACAGATCTTTTACCACCTTTTTAACTTTATTCCTAGGTACCTTATTTTTTGTTGCTGTTGCAAAGTAAATGCGATTGTTTTCTTAGTTTCTCCTTCTGATATTTAATTATTGGTATAAAAATACCACCAATTTCTGGGTATTAATTTTGTATCCTGAATTCACTTATTAGATCTAGTAGTTGTTTAGTGGAGTCTTTAGTGTTTTCTATATACAATATCATGTCATCTGTGAATGGTGACAACTTTACTTCCTCCTTTCCAATTTGGATGCCTTTTTTTTCTTCCTCTTGTCTGATCACAGTGCTTAGGACTTCCAGTACTATGTTGAATAAGAGTGTGAAAGCAGACATCTGTCTTGTTCCTGATCCTAAGGGAATTGCTCTTAGTTTTTGCTCATTGAGCATGATGTTTGCTGAGAAATGATTCCTCTATTCCCACATTTCTGAGAGTGTTTATCAAAAATGGGTGCTGAATTTTATCAAATGCTTTTTCTGTACCTATTGATATGAAAATGTAATTTTAATCTTTCAATTTGTGTATGTGTTGTATCACATTTTTTTGTTATTGATTATTGTGCCAACCTTGCATCCCTGAAATAAAGCCCACTTGGTCATGGTGTATGATTTTTTAAATATATTGCTGGATCTAATTTGCTAATATTTTGTTGAGGAATTTAGCATCTATGTTCATCAGGGATATTGGCTTATAATTTTCTTTCTTTGTTGTGTCTTTATCTGGTTTTGGAACTAGGATAATTCTTGCCTTCTAAAAAGAGCTTGGAAGTCTTCCTTCTTGCATTTTTTGGAGTGTACACATAACATTTAAATAAATAAATAATCAAAAACATTGGTTGAATTTGGTCAGCTTATGGCTAGGACTAAAAAATAAACAATAAATAAATGTTAGTACAAAAATCACTATTATTCAAGAACAAAAGCATGTGACTAACTTGAATTTTTAAACATGGTGAATTAATATAATTATTAGAACATAAAAAAAATTGAGCTATGGAATCTAATTAGTTAAGCTGTTTGCCAGAATTTGAATTTCCTTAATCTTACACGGTAGTCTTTTGAGATTAAAGAAATTATTTAAAAATGAACTTTTTTAAGAATTATAAATGTGTTTCATTTTAGCATTAAATAAAACTAAGTTTGCTTATTAATACACTTATCCAGTAAGTTAGAGGCTTAAAAGAATGTTATAATACAAGGAGTTTAAAAAGATTTCCTGATTAAATCAGAAATAAAACAGAACTAAATTATTTGAAGAAACCTTTAAGAATTTTTACCATATCCTCAGCCCGATAAGAATTGGATATTAAATATATTTCATAAACTTAAATAAAAAATATAACACTTAATAGCAAACCTCAGAAAGACTTTTTTTGTTTGTTTTCCTTTTGGTGAAGCAGAAGCTTATTGAACCCCAATGTCTCAGGGTATTTAAAGAGTAACTAGGACATTTTCAAGGTAATCCCATATATTTCCATTGTGCTTTTACTGTTTAAGAGTATTTTCCACACCTGATTAACTTGTGTTTTCCTTAAATAAACATTAGTATTTTATCTTAAAATTGTTTTTACTTGAAAGGTATTGAGGCAAAGGAAAGGAATCAACAAAATGTAAAAAAGAAAAAAAGAAAGAAAAGAAAAAAAAATAAAGAAAATAAATGTAGTATTCCAAAAAATTGGAATTAATTTTTCGTGACTAATTTGAAAAACAATATAATACAATACAAAACCATATGATATACAATATGTGGTGTGAGTTGTTGAAATTACCTGTTTAAATTATGCCTTAGAAAGGACTATGTAAACATGCCTTGCTTTCTTCTTTAGCTCAATGAAAACTGGGAT